AAAAGGTTTCTATTATGAAAAAGCTCATGCTTAGTAAGATTAGATTTGTGGCTGAAGACTTTCCCACATACCTTACAGGCAATATAAATTCTCTGCTGACTGCGGTGTGACATCTGAATGGAAGCTTTCCCACATTCACAAGGTTTCTCTCCAGTATGAATTTCTTGATACACGAGGATTTACTTTTGACTGAAGATATTTCCATATTTCTTACATTTAGAAGGCTTCTCTGTATGACCTCTCAAATGCAGAGGAATGGATAAGATTTGTGAGAAAATTTTATCATCTAGCTAAAGGCTTTTCAATACTCTTTAGAAGCACAAGGTTTCCCTTCAGCATGACTTCTATGTTCACTGAAATGTGATATGTGGGTAAAAGTTTTCCCACATTCAGTAAACTCATAAGGTTTTCCTCCAGTATGAATGCTCTGCTATCAGATGCTATATCACACTTTTTATACTGAAGGCATTTCACACTGCTTTACACTTACAGGGGGATATTACTATAAGAAATAAGCAGTGGTAGAGAACATCCAGCTAGTAAAATTGGAGACTCAACTACATACCTTCCTTCATGGTTAGGTCTAAACGATTTCAACCTAAAACTTCAAAAATGTTTCCTTAAAGAAATGAGGTTGAGCAAACAAAGGATTTTTCCAATTTTCTTATATTCACATCCTCTTTTCCTCAGTCTGTAGTTTGATGAACACAACTTGCCTCCCAAGTCTTGTTGCTTCTCTATCTGTTCATCATCTTCTTAGGCTTTTTCTGACAAGACTTGTTTTCCACTTTTTCCCCACCATCCAGTGGATCTTCTTGCTTCAGTGGAGGATCATACAGTTTTGTCTCTTTATCACCTGYACTGGGCAATTCCTCTTGAAGAAATCTACTTTAGAGAGAGTCCTGCGCACCACGTGGACCAAGAAGACTGTCCTGACCCGAGGACAAAGACCAAAATCGAGAACTTGAATTTCTAACAAGTTCCCAGGCGATGCTCTTGCTAGTCAGAGGATTGTGTTTGAAAGAACACTGTTCAAGGAACTGCACTTTCAGATTTTTTGCATATTTAAAATTGGGGATATTTATCATGCAGTCATGTACACTAATCCTCTAGTGGTTATACGTGCTCTTAGTTGTTGTTTGCCAATTGATTTTGGAGTCTTTTGACACAGACAAGTTTTTTCATTTCTGGGCAATCAAATGTGTCAATCTCTATTCATAATTTGAGATTTCTGTGTTTTGTCTTTGAAATCTTTATTGTAATATCTTAAACTATCTTTATTCTTTTAGGTTTGAAAAACTTTTTTTCATACTTAGTGTCTTAATTCCTCTGGAGTTTATTTATTTTTTTGGTAAGGTATAATAAAGTAGGAGCCTAATTAAATCTTCCCCACTAGTTTAGCTAATTGTTTCAGTTTTCATTTATTTAACATTTCACCCTTTTCCTATGGATATTTYATGCCACATGTATCACAGGATTCTTCTTTATTACAGGTTAAAACGAATGCCAGGGGCTGGGGTTGGTGGTTCAGTGGTAGAGCGTTTGCTTGACATGAGGCACTGGGTTCAATTCTCAGCACCATATATAAATAAACAAAATGAAGGTCCACTGACAACTAAAAAATATTCACCCTCCCCCCCCCCAAATGCTATTTTTACTTTCAACACTTAAAAACATCTTCCCTGAGGTGGAATTTAATTTAGAAAAAAGCCAAAGTTTTACCCTTAAATGAAAAGTGTATGAGTCATTGACTCTTCTAGAGAATGTCACAGAGAATTTTCATGTAAAACTATCATCTAGCAACTGATTAGTATAGTTAATAAAAGTCAGTTTGATGAAAATTTTACAAATCTAAGTTCAAAAGGCAAGTCTTTTACTGACAAATTAATAAGGAGAATATAAGGCCATACATTCATATACTGTTGGTGGGACTGTAAATCAGTACAATCACTTTGAAAAGTAGTATGGAGATCCCTCAAAACACTAGGAATAGAACCACTGTATGATCTAGCTATCTCATGCCTTGTATTTATTCAAAAGATCTAAAATCAGCATACTATGGTGATATAGCTACTTCAATGTTTATAGTAATGCAACTCACCATAGCCAAGGTATGAAGCCAGCCCAGGTGCCCATCAACATGAATGGATTAAGAAACTGTGTACATATAAATATCTATGTAATTAAGAATTGTGTGTGTATGTATACATATACACACACATATGTATATATACATATGTGTATGTATATACATATATATATACACAATGAAGTTTTACTCATTAAGAAGAATGAAATTATGGCATTGGCTAGTAAATGGATGGAACTGGACATAATGCTAAGTAAAATTAGCCAGACTCAGAAAATTAAGGGTGGAATATTCTTTCTCATATGTGGAAGCTAAAGCAAAGTAAGGGGTAAAAAGAAGGGTGTCAAATATCATAAGGATAGAGAAAAACTCAGTGTAGTAAAAGGAGATTGAGGAGAGGGAGGAGGGACAGGAAAGGGGAAGAAATATGAAATGAATGACAAAATTATACTCTGTGCATGTATAAATACACTATAGTGATTTCACTTTTCTTTATCTTTCAATCTATCTATTTATGTATTCATAAAGCACCAATTAAAAATAAATAAATAAATGAAAGACCTATCTATAAAGCACCAATTAAAATAAATAAATAAATGGAAGACCAGTAGAAGGAGAAGAATAGGAGAGGAAGGAGAGGAAGCAAAGAGGAGGAACTGGGGACTAAAAGGGAACAAATTAAATTCCAATGTATGATTATGCCAAAATGAATKCAACTATTATGTGTAACTATAATACACTAATGAAATMATTAAAAACAGAATACAGGACCTTTATATGTATACATGAACATACAATAGATGAATGAAGCCGCTGCTACTTAAATTCAATTGACTTGATTCTTCAAATCCTCAAGCTGTAGGACAACAGAATCAGAAGACATGGATATGAGCTCAAGATCTGCCATTAGCTTTGTGATATCAGGCAAGTTGCTCCAGCTATGTATCAGTTTTTAAAGCTGTAACACTGCTAAAATGCTTGTAAAATTCTTGTAATAAATAATATTATTTTAAAATATGTAATTACTTAAAATCAGATCTTTGGCAGAAGAACATATAATTCAAATTCTATCAAATACACTCTTATTTAAAAATGGTATATCTTCTTAAAATTTTATTTTTAACTGACAAGTAACTATATATATATATATATATATATATATATATATATACACACACACTTATGGGGTATAAGTTGATGTTTATAGTGTGTAATAATTAAAATAAGATTAACAAATTTAAAATCTACTCTTAGCAATTTTGAGACATACATTACTGTTTAATATACTCAGCATTCTGTGCAATGTATCACTAACATTTATTCCTCCCGACTGAAACTTTGTACCCTTTGATCAACATTTCTCCTTTCCCTATCAACCCTCTTCCCCAGGCTCTAGTAATTATTATACTACTGTTTACTTCTATGAGTTTAACCTTTTAAGATTCCATATATAGAGGACATCATGAAGTACTTGTSTTTCTGTGCCTGGTTATTTTACTTAGTGTAATATCTTCCAAGTTCAACCATGGTGTCACAAATGATAGTATTTCCCCCTTTTAAGGCTAAATAGTATTCCACTGTTTATGTACCATGTTTTCTTTCTTTATTTATCTGATGATGGACACCTAGGTTGCTTCCATAACTTTGTAAATAATGATTCAATGAAAACAGGAGTAAGGTATCTTCATCTTTTTAAAATTGGTGCATTATAATTATACATAATAGTGGGATTCATTATGCCATATTCACACGTCCATATACTATGATTTGACCAATCTCATTCTCCAGTACCTTTCTTTGTCTTCCCTTCCCTAATCTGTTCTACTTATCTCCTTTCTAGTATTATTATTTTAATTAGTGCATTATAATTATGTTATTTTTATCTGAAGAAATTAAGGAAGTTATTTATCTTATTTATCTCCACTAACTTGGGAGGTATATCAAGAGAAAAAAGCTCTTATATCTTACATGTGGGCATCAGACTTCGTTGCCAAGACAATGTTCTAGCAACCCTGACTTTCCTCAGGATGAATGTGAAAAAAGGTGGATATTATTAATCTCCCTGAGTCATCAAAATGCTGTCAAACTTAGAAAGTATTTCTGACAACAGTTGTGCTTCTAGACAGAAAGGAATTAATACATGGAGCATGGGTTAGAAATTAAAAGGGTTTTCCAGGGTGGACTAGTAACAACATATGGAAATTTTCAGTTTTCTGTCATAAAGAAATAATGAAAACAATTGTCTTTTCAGATTATCTGCTTCTGAACTGTTACTATATATCAGAAGGATTGCAGAGAAACAGACAGGACTTTGAATTGTCTTATTACTAGAACTTAAAGATCTTTAAATATGTTTCCATTATTTACTGACAGAGGACAAAGTTAAAAAGTAGTCTAAATGTTTTAGGGTGCATCTTGAAAGTGAAGCAACAGGTTTAAGCCACAACTATTCAAATTTTAATAAAAAGTGATTCCTTCTATTTTTCTCTGTCATGATGTTTCCTGTTTTGTGTGAGAATCTTTCCTCTGAGGTGTTAGTCTTTTATTTTTCCTTTAAAAAAAAAAAAAACAAGGTCACAGAACTGGGGAAGAGCATTAACAATGACAACTGAGGGGCTTTCATGAATATCTTTGGTGGTCAAATTATGAGAGTTAGTACCTTAATTTCTAGAAGCAGTACTATTGAGACTTGTAAATACCTTTCAAAGAATGGCCAGGTGGATAATTACTAAGTTTTGATGGAAGATGAGTAACCAGGATGTCCTGTACATAATTAGTCTATTAAACTTTACTTTTCAAACTGGTATCCATAAAATGTTTTAAAAAATGTTTTAACTTTGTATTTAGAATAGTCAGTTTAAAATCCATAAAACTAAATTATCCAGTTTGCTTCTTCAGTTATATTTGGAGGGAAAATAAAGACAATGATGGGATAAGTATGCTTGAATCTGCCTGTCCTTGATTGTGTAAACTACGAAAGCAAAACTTGAAAAAAAATTCCAGTTTTTCCCCAACCTATGTGGTACTGATTCAAGACCACAGTTCCATTTTTTATCAGCATCAGTGATTTTTTAAATTTTATCGACACAACATACCTGATACTATATTCTCTCAGGCCCCAGCAATTATTCTACAAGACGGAATAAGGAAGATAGAGATACAGGTCAAGGTATGAGGGCTCCATTTTCCATGACTACTGTTTAGAATTTTGCATTTTCAGAAATTTTCAGTTTCCAACCTTGTTATAAGAACCATGCAGGGTGGCAGGGGCATGTGATTTTCTTTTGAGGACTGACTACTATAAACAATGTCAAAAGAAACTGTTTTTCTCACTGGGAAAAGTGGTGGCTGCTTGTAATCCCAGTGATTCAGGAGGGTGAAACAGGAGAATTGCAAGTTTGAGGTCAGCTTCCATAATATAGAGAGGCCCTAAGCAACTTTGTTAAGACTGTCTCAAAAATAAAAAATAAAAAGGGCTGGGATGGA